ATATATATATATATATATATCGTGAATACTGATAATCATTTATTGAATTTACCTTTAGCATAGAGATCGACGCTATAGCAGCTTCGGAAACGGTGTCGCGTCTTCCAAGTGAGCGAGCCGTCAAAGAACGATGAGAGAATGATGTTTTCAGGGCGTCCAGTAGATTGATGACTATACTGATGAACTGCTTAATAACACGTATAAATGAAGATATAAGCGATCATATTCACAAAGACGTGTACACGGTAAAAAAAAAAACGTTTGACGGTTAAGCATAGATAGACCTCTTGTTTCTGATTCATTCTTAAAAGTTTCAAAAGAGATTTCACTTTTACATCATCAGTTCTGAATTTTTTTCTCAAATACAAGAAAAAATCTTTTTTTAATCTAGAAAAATTTGCAATGAAATCAAAGTAGCTTTTAAATAGTATTGTATCCTAATAAACATAAATATAATATATCCTATATGATATTATTCTCTCAAAAAATTTTAAGATATTTCTATATGTAAAATTAATTTTTACATAAAACCAAGTAAAATGTAACTGAGATACTTTATAATTTTATTATTTTATTCTATTTTGTAAAATAATTTATTTATGTATGAGAAATAAATTTTTGTGACATTAATTTAATGGCGCGTGAACGCAATGTTCACGGTTACTTTTTAAATTAATTTCGAACAAATTAATTAAAGAAATTCATAAAAAATTTAGAAAAGTGATTTTTTTTAAATTCATTACGATCTGCTATTGGAGATACATGCGAAACTAACTTGTCACCAAATTGTACATATAGTACATATAGTACATACAGTACATATAGCTATAAAGATTGGTTTATGAAAATGATTCTCAATAGAGAACTGGGACGATCATAACTGTGTATGTACTTTCTTTCTTTTAAATTATAGTCTCATATGATTATGACTTTTTTTCTTTTAAATCATAGCCTTACTTATTTCTCAAAATGCAAAATCTTTCAAGACCTATATTCGTCAACGCTAAACTTGTCTAATCTGCGCAATTATTTAAAACCATATTTATTATTTATATTGTATGTGCGAGAATGTGTTGCAACTAACATATATTTTAGTTAAAAGCAATTTCAAAAGAAGCTGGATTATAAAACAGATAGCTGGATTAAAAATGTAGGTAGATTAGTATAAATATAATACAATATACTATAATAAGTGCATCGGAGATACGGTTAAGCAAAATTAACTAAACTAATTCAACTTCCATTTTCTCACTTGATATTTTCAACATTTTCAACAAAGTAATTAAGAATAAAGCACGCATTTGTACCTTTTGTTCTAAAAGTGAGATAAAAAGTTTGACTTAGACGTCATTATTCCAATTCATTCGTTTATAGACTCGTACTAACCTCAGAAGCATTTTTCGCCATTACAGCAACTTGTTCGGGATCTCTGCCCTGTCCTAGAAACGCGCCCAGCACCGCAGTCAAAATTTCCTAAACAACCGACACCAAACCATGTGTGCGCTAAGTCTAAAGTTTGACAATTATTTACAAGGAATGTGAGAGAGCACAAAGTGAAAGAATTTGTTTTCATCTGGCAC